TGTGTGTGTGTGTGTGTGTGTGTGTGTGTGTGTGTGTGTGTGTGTGTGTGTGTGTGTGCAAACATTGTATCTTTCTGAGAGTACTTACTCTCTCCAGTCATCACCCCCTGTGTGTACCTCTTGGGCAGCATCCCCATGTAACCATAGAAACTGGACTGCTGCACTGAAGAGGGACATCAGAGGTTATTAATGCAAACAGCAGCCAAACACTGAAACAACACTTTTTTTAAAGGTTCTTCTTCCTGAAGCTCCTGACACCAACAGAGTAAAGTACATCCAGACTAATTAAACTGCTGGAAAGCCCAGTGTTTACGCACAGCAGAATTTTTTTTAAAGCTGCTAATATAAATTGATAAGTTTACAGTTTTTGTAAACATAAGACAATCTGTTAAATTTACCAAACAGGTGAGTCAAAAATGAAATTGTGTTGATTTTGGCTGGATTATTATGAAGTGTGGTTTAATATGATGCTCTGTCTGGATAATATTAGCTCAAACTATGTTTAGTCACATAGTAAAGAAAAACATCAGATCCTTTCACATGTGATGAACAGTAAATATCTTATCTGCAGAAGATAGATCTTTAAATAATCTCAGTTTGAAGAAAAACAATTTAAATCTGATCAAGTATTTTTTTATAAAGTTTCACATTGCCTTAAATTTTCTGACTTTTATTTAGAGTATTAGGCTGTAGCAGAAATGCTAATGCTAGCTGCTGATGTCACGTCTCATGCTAAATAAAACTAAACATGCAAATTTATATTTAAAATGGCAGCCCTCCTCTTTGATTCTATCCAAACTGGACTAGCTGTTGACTCATCAATCTAGACTTAGCTCTCTGAACAAGCTCAGTTTAGAGATATACTGTATATCCAACAGGTAAGATATTAGATATTTATCCGCAGAACTGCAATTCAAAGATAGGATGACGTCCTCGTGCCATCACTTTACCTGCCTGCTAGCTGTTCACTAAATATGAAACTGAACTGAGTAAAACAGATGTAAACAAGACAAAAGCCAAATGAGGAGTTTTATTTGTTTTTAAAGTTTTTTAAAGTGTTAAAAATAAGTCAAATTTAATGATGTAGCATCTAAATAAAAATAGTTATCCAATACTGAGACTTCTTATTCTCATCTTCTCAGCAGACTTCCAGTTACAACAAAACATTTCACAGAAACAGCGTACATCCATTTAAATTATTATTGTGAGATTATCTTAAACTTCAGAATCTGAATCTTTTTTTCCTTTAAGTGTTGATGTGGTACTTTATAGGATTTTTTATGGTTTATGGCAGGGGTGCCCAACCAGTCGCTCGCGGGCGACTCGTTGCCCGCCAGCTGATTCCCAGGTGCCCGCGCAGCGCAACCTTGCTGGCTTTGAGCATCGCATCCCGGAGTGGCTGGTCTTGTTTGAAAGCTCTGCAACGTTCCCCCGCAGAGATATAAGTGAAAATCCTCCAAAACTACGCACCGTCAGACCTCCCGCCAGGGTGGGTTTAGCCCCCCACCCTCCCGGGCTTTGAGCATCAGATCCCGGCATGGCTGGTCGGGTTTTAAAGGCCTGGCTCTCCCCCACAAGGGGAAAGTTGAGTGGAGTCCCTGCGACGGTCCCCCGCGGAGATATAAGCGAACAACCTCCAAAATTACGCACTGTCGAACCTCCGCCGGGGGTGGTTTTAGCCAACCTTCCCGAGCTAGGAGCATCGGATCTCGGAGTGGCTGGTCGGGTTTTAAACCTCTGGTCCTGCCCTACAAGCGGATACTTGAATGGAGTCTCTGTGATGTCGCCCCGCGGAGCTATAAGCAAATTACGCATGACTTAGTACATTTTACGTGCATTTTTGGGAGGAAATTTCAACATTCGTTTGCTTCTCCTGTGGGCTCGAGCATTGGATCCAGGAAAGTGAGATGACTTTGGAAAGCTGCGGTCCTCCTCTACAAAATGGAGGTGGTTGCAAGTTCCTGGGACGTTCCCCCGCAGAGCTATTAACCAACGACCGGCCGAAAAAGGCGCTTTGGCGGACGATGTAGTACTCAATTTACTCCGGAGCCTCTATCGCCGGCTCTGAGCGTCAGATCTGGGCGGGAGTGGCTCATTTTAATGTTCTGGTTCTTCGCTACAAGCTGGAGGTGGTTGCAAGTTCCTGGGACGTTCCCACGCGGAGATATAAGTGATCAAATGTCGTCGGGCGAGCTCCGGCGGGTGAAACAGCTGATTTCCAGCATGGGGCTGCTGGTGCTAATGTAGGGGAATAAAAGGAAGAGATCCAGTGAGGTGGAACCGCGGTCATGTGTCCAGCACCAGCTCTCCCACCTGGATTCAGCCAGAAACCCCCTGGTGGGCGATATTTCTGCAAAAATGCATAAAATTCAGAAACCCACCTGATGGATCACTTCCAGGCAATAAAAGGAACAGATTTGGTCATGTGAAACCGGTCCTGGAAGCTCAGCACCGGGTTTTTTTTAGTTCCCCTGCTCCAAAGTTATTTGACTCTGTGGTTCTCAGTGTGCATGTTTTCAGCCCTCATAGCTCACACGTTACAGTGAGTACTGATAGAGGGAGAAATTTTTTTTTATTTTTTTTTGTTCGAGCATCACTTTTCTGTTTCTCTGTCAGGAGTTAAATAAGGATTTTATCTTTTATTTTTTTTGTAGGTAAATATATGGTTAAGTAGATAATTTTGTTTGACAATACTTTAAATTAAATAAAACTAGCAACTCATTATGTTCTGTTTTATTTACTTTAAAGAAGTGAGGAGTAGGGAGACCATATTATGTTTTTTTAATTTACTGAGACTGGACGAGTAGATCTCGGCAAACTGCTGACTTCAAAAGTAGCTCTTGGTTCAAAAAAGGTTGGGCACCCCTGGTTTATGGCAAAGCTATTTAACTAAATTATTCAGGGGCCTATGGTTACTAATGCCAACAGGTTCAGGGCTGTACATCCAAATGTAACGCAAATTTTGAATAAATTTTTTTAAAAAGATGCAAAAAAGAAAAAGACAAAAATAAAAATAAATTTTCTTTTCATCTACTGATTAGAAGCAAATCAACCAGGCTACGCAGAGTGTAATTTCACTGATGTTACACATGGCTGTAGCTTACAGGAAGTAGAGGTTGATAACCTGCAAGGAATACACACCTCAGGACAAAGGAGAGAAGTTTTCAGGAACGTGTTGCTAGTTGCAAGTTGTAATTTCTGTCATATCAACTAGTATTGTTCGTGTTAGATGCTGTCAGAGTCTTAAAGAACGAAACGTAATTCTCTTCACATTACAGGAATATCTGGGAAGTCTCAAACAGCAGGAACAGCTGATCAGTCATCTGAAGTAAATGTTTGCTACATCTGAACTTTTTTGTAAACGTGTTTCCATCTCCCAAATGAGGAATTAACTCTTTTTTGAAAAGTCTAAAAACCACCTCAAGTGAGCGTAAAAACATTTTTGCAAAATTGGCATTTTTTTCTCGAATTTTGCGCTACTTTGAAAATGCACATAAAAATGGAAACATGGCTATTGTCGGGTGGGCCGAGTCGTGTCAGATCATCTGAATAATGGGAATATTTGTCATTTCATATTTTTAAATGTTAAACTGACTTTTGTTTTGATTTAAATACTAGTTTTATTTCATAAATTGGGCCTTGTTGAGCTCACCCGCAGGCCAGATGTAGCCCCCTGGCCGTCAGTTGAAAAGCCCCTGTTTATGTTTTTTGTATGATGTTCTTGAAATTTTCTTCTGCTTAGATCTTTTGTTTTATTTCCAGAGCCTGCATCCTTGTGCTCTGCTCTCCAGGTTGTCTGGTTGATTTGTTGCTTGTTGCTTCATCCCTCATGAAGTGATTAACCCACAGGTCTTTCAGTTAATAAGGACTGATTGATTCTCACACATTTCTGCCCTGGAAGAATAATTCATCTGAATCAGGTGCTTTGTAGAAGGAACACATCTAAAGCATGATTATCAGTAAGCCCTGAGGTCCAGAAACAATAAAACCTTATAACCTGCTGCTTGTTAAAAGGAGCCTACCWGTGCACCCGAAGGCCACCACTCCCACTGAACAAAGGTTGATGACGTAGGACTGCTTGGTGGTGAACTTTTCCAGCCAAATATCAAACGTGCTGACAAAGATGAGCGGCCCGAGAGCCAGGATGTAACCTGCAGAGGAAGAGACACACAAATGGATGGTGAATTAGGACTTTAAAACTATTAAAGACATGTTAATCTATTCCTGAGCTACAAATTAAAATTCTTCAGACCTTCGGGCAGAAAACACATTTCAAAGGTTTTTTTTCCCCTCAAGGACGCAGGCGGAGATATTTTAAGTTACAAAGAGTGCAGCAATCTCCCCCGTCACACACACCATGTGAGATCTGATGTAGAAACACCAAAATCCTCCTGAGAGGCATTTAAAAAAAAAAAAACGTTTGTGAATTATTAATATTAGGTGGACTAATGAGCTATTTGCTTCTTTTTTTTGTTGGTCTTTAAAATTATAGTTTGGAAATCATTTATAGAATAAAGACATTAAAGGGATGAAAATACTTTTTGACAATTAATTTTTGTTATTAGTAGAACACTGCTAAAAGCTAACAGTAGCAAAACACTAGCTCAAAGCAAATATAAGCAAAGTGCTAAGAATCAATAGTGCAAAATCATAGCTAAAAACTAAGAGTAGCAAAACATTAGCTACAAAAGTACTAAAGTAGCAAAAGCCAAGTCAAAAGCTAAAAGTGTCAAAACTGCAGCTAAAAGCTAAGGGTATGAAAATAATAGGTTGAAGTACAAAAAGCTTAGCTAAAAAAGCTAAAAGTAGCAGCCACATTTTAAAATGTTTATATAAAATAGTTTTTTCTTGCCTTTTTTCTTCAACCTGCATTAACCTGTTCCTGAACATCACTGATAAACAGTCTCTTAAACGCACATTACTGCAAGCAGCTTTTTGGTCCAAACAGCTGACTCATGTTCCCCACTTTCTGCAGACTCAGACTCCAACCGACCTCGAGTCCAACAGTCCAGTCCAGAAAACACATCAGGGTCCAAAACACTGTTAGAGGAAATCTTCAGGCACCCGAGTTACCCCCTCAGTTTGCACCACTCTAAAAGATGATTTATGAAATGTGCTGACGTCTCTGTTTTTTAATTTATTTATTTGTTTGTTTTGTTTTTTACAGAATTACTTTCCAATCAAGTTTGGCCCAAATCCATTCAGTTGAATTTTCAGTATAAACTATTTAAATTCATAGTAGCTTTTTT